TTTTTTTTTTTTGGGGGGGGGGTGGGGGGGGTGGGGGGGGGCGAAGGTAACAGCACTTTTCCTTAAATGAAAACGCATTCCCTCTTATCAATTTCATAGGCATTGGAGCTTAACCTGCTCAAAAACTCTGCATTGTTGTGCATCGTAGACAATTAGTAAAACTATGCTCCCCTCCTCTCCAATTCAAATTTAACAAAAAGAGAAAACGAAAAGCTTCAAAAAAGTGAAACATATATTTGAGGACGTCGGTACGTTAACGAAGATTGAAGTATAGGTAACTGTAAAACATTCGTAACCGTAAAAGCCAAAGCACTATCTTGCCAGATTTTTGAAAACGTGCCGAACGAAATTTGCAGTCTTTTGACTGGAAAAAAGACCAAAAGCGAAGGCAAAATGAGCCCGAAAATCCTCCTAGAAAAGAACGAGGAAAGGGAAAATAGAAAGAGGGAGGAGAAAGAAAGGAGGAGAAGGGGAAAAAAAGCAATGGTTGCACTCTTAGTTTTTATGTTGACTTCCTTGGAGATAGTTTTTTTGAAAGGATAGTTTTTTTGAAAGAAAAGAAAAAAACTGTTTGAGGGGAGAGCTCTATTTTGGCTGTAACGTTATTCAAAAATCCAGCTCTGATACATATTTTTTCCCCTTGCGCCTAACAGAAATCTGATAAAAAAGGATTTATTTTAAAAGCTAATGATTAAGTAACGGCTTTCATTTTTCAGATATAAAGCCTTACGACTAAGTTTGTTGTTGATCTACAGCCAACAGTTCATTCTATTACTCTGTAAGCCTCCTGTTATTTTGGGGTTCCTTGAATAAAGCATGGGCTTCCTGTGCAAAAGCCAAACCTGTTTAATATTTATCCTTTTTGAAAAAAGTTATTCTTTCTTCTTTCACTTTTCCATAGAAGTAACAAACACATTTTGTGCATTTTTTGTTTGAATGTATAATATCAACTAACGTGGGTGCCCTGTGTTAAAGCTCAAAATGTTTAACGCTTAATTTTGACATGTTCTACCGAACGGATTTTTAGTATGTTTCTAGGTAGGCTCCCTTGTCTGCAGCCTGGTCGTGATATTAATATGGTGCCTTTTTCGTACACTTTCAACTAGTCATTCAGTATCTAACATGGATTAGAGAACAGACTCCTCCCCCCTACCCCCCAGTTGACTTTATGAGATGTGTTTGTTTTTTCTACGTGATTTTAGCGTCCAGCGTTACAGACTATTCACAGTTGAAGAAATTTCGACGAAGTTATACAGAAAGGGAGGAAGAGCTCATTATTAAAACAGAAAACTGCTTTAGAAGCTATGACCACTGTCGAGTGCTAAGAGGCAGTTACTGTGTAAAACAACTAAGGACATCAAAAAACTCAAACCAGAAGAAGAACCACAAGCCAGGTTATTCAAAACTTCGCATTTCACTTGTCTGGACATACATTCCGTCCAGTTGTTCAGTCGACTAACCAACGCCCTTAACAGCGTAAATAAATTCTTCCAGCCTTTCAGTAATAGATGGTAAGATAATAAGAAAGCAAGTGAAGAAAATCGTTTCAGAAACACTGAATTTCTGTAGTATTCAATGTACTTCGCTTTGAAATCAAAGCTTTTTTCGCAGAGGCGATCGCGCCGCTCGGAGTACCAATTAGCACTTGACGTGTCAATTAACCCTTTGAAGGGCGCTTTCGTCGTTTTGTTCCCATGACAATGTATATTTTCCTTCCTGAACCCATTGAGCTTTCAGTTTAAGCTATTAGCGTGGTAAGCAGCGACGTTAGCAAAGAGATCTTTGCAACGATATCTCGTTTTTTTTAGTGGAGCCGATTCTGACCAATCCCGACAAAGTTACCCACACAAAACCTAGTAACATTTTTGGGGAAAATCCACTGCCAGTTTCGCTATTCACCTACTACCCTTTGCGACCAGATTAAATTTGTCCCTTTCCTAAAAAATAACCAGCCACAATTCCATGGGAAAGAAAGACGATAGAATGGGCAACAAAACTGGATATAAAAAGAGAAAGGCAAAGGGAAAACAGAGAGCGAGAAAAAAGGATCGAACAAAAAAAATCTCGGCAAGCGGGTCAGCCCGCCTTCTCATATAAAAACAATGCAAGTTTTATGAGGAAACAAGGCATGAGGCCAGTTCACCTGCAGGCTGGCTCCGGATCACATCATTCATACAAATAGGCCGTTTGAACTCTGTTCCTTTTGCTCCTTAAACATTGCAACGTGGTTTGCATTCCTTGCCAAATGTCACCTTAAAATCTTATCAACACGCCAAAATAAGGTTTGTTGATATGATCGGCCCTAAAAGCATGATTTTCGGCTGGACCACTTCCGAGAGCCAAAAATGGTTATACTTAATAATTGGGCACTAGAACAATTGAACCAGAATACTTAAAGCTTTTTTTTACTTGTACAAATGTTTAAATGAGATTACAACTAAAATATATAAGAAAGGACGACGATATCGGCTAACTGTGCAGTCAGACAATGCCACTTCCGAATCAGGATCTTGAGAGAGTGTTCGCCGGACTGTTAGTTTCTGTATTTTTGTTAAACGACTCTCAAAATAAGCTCTTCGCTTTCTCAGGGTTAGAAACTCTATAGGGGTGGCTATCGCTGTGATGTTTGAACAATTTAGCCACAGATGAAAAATGTGTGGTCTCGAAAAGATAGCACTCAATAGCTTTTCAGCTCACTTTTGCTTTGGCTGCATGTCGTATCTTTAGCAACCTCTGTGCGGCTGTTTTTCCTCCATTTGCTAAACCAATGAAGTTACTTCGTGTCAGTTGGATTGCCTTCACGCTTGACCATTTGAAGATGATACGACAGTTTGATCAACAGATTTAACATGGCGGCAGCAGTAAGTTAACGTACTTCATTGAAAAATTCAGACTATTTCAGGTTTACCAACACTTTTTTCTGACTTTGAGATCTCCACTCTCACCCTTTCTTTTTGCAAGTCTGTAGGTTTTGACTTCCAGACAGTCCAGGATCCTCGTTTTCTCTTATTTCGTAGACACATCACGAACAAAATCAAAGCAAGCAATATTAAAACTCCGAGTACAATTCCAATTATTAGGAAAAATCCCATTTCCTTCTCCGCCTCCGCCATTTCCTTCTCTCTTTCCTTCTCATTTTCTACAATTCTGTTCTCTTGAATAGTTACTTCAAGAGTGAATATAACCTTTTCTGTATTTTCTGTTGAAGATACCGCTGACACAGTGACTCGCCTGCTGCTCTGAGGCTCTGCAGAAAGTAACGCCTTGACCGTTAGATGTCCTAAAATACTCTGGTTTTGCTGTAAGTAGGCTGACTTTGGAGTTACGTTACATTTCAGGAAAACATGACTTGAAACCTGGAAGTAAGGATATAACGCCAAAATTTGTGTTTGTTTCAAACTGTTATTCGTGGTTGTGTAATCGATATACCAGCCCTGCAATATAAGCTGCGATACTTGGTATCAAATAAGAAATCATTTGCTGTGATTGAAGTACCTTTAAAGGTGTATTAACTGATCTATTTTTGAGCCTACATTAAGCGGCAGGAACTCAAAGTCCCGGAAAAGATGAAAGAAAGAATTGTAAATGAAACGTCTTTTAAACACTGCCACCTTTTGGCCGACCTGTAGACAGTTCTCCTATAGTTGTCATCTCTGTTAGCTTCTGTTAAGCGGTCACCGAGCGCTTGATACACTTAGGACCTGGTTACATGGAGGTGGAGGACCTCAGGTAGGTGAGGTAACCCGCCTGTCCATATAATCTACTATTTTAATTTGATCACATTTACATGATAGGTGGGGTGACTCCTCGCGGGTTCCCTCACCTACCTGGGATCCCCCACCTCCATGTAAACAAGCCCTTAGTTTAGCTTTATGACTAAAATATCATGAGTAACCAAGATAAAGTCCGAGATAGAAGGTAAGGACTGGTTGTGAACCAGTGATGCCGCTCCCGTCTCTTGCTTGTTTCAAAATAAAGTGATGTTTCTGCTAAAGATCACTATTATTTATGACGACCCTTTATTGATTGACTAGTTGCCGCTTGCTGGTACCCTGAGGATGGCCATTTAATGGAGGTTCAAGGCGGTAGTTTTAAGGTTCAGTATCGATCTTACCTTGAGGGTGAAATTATTCTCCGCACCTTCATTTATAACAGTAAAGTTGATTGTCACGTTAGCTCCAGCCTTGATGTTCACCTTTCTGTTAGGTACCACGCTCTTGAGAACAGCATCCTTGTTCAGTGTGAATTGCGGCGTTCTCTCTTCTTTTGCTCCCACAATCACAGTAATTTCAAATAACTGCACGCGTGTAACATTCGTCGTTTTTATCAGCGGTTCAGCGTTAATCACAAGACTTGCCTTCTTAGATCCTGTGTCTTTCTGACCAGTTATAACAATTTCACCTCTTGCTTCCTGTTTATGATCTAAGTTATCAAACTTGAGTGGAATAACATAGCCAGTAAAATGTTTGCTTTCAGACGCGCGTGTGGTAAAAGACCCTTTGGTACCTAAGTTTTTGATTTTAAACTCAAGTCTGGTTGTTTCTCCTGGCATGAGGTTTAGTTCTGTGTACTTGGTCTGGGCTTGAATCTTTAAAACCCGCGTTACTGCACTTAATTTGCACGAACCTGTGTTACCGACTACATCAACTGCTATGATATTGGCTGTGGGATGGCAACAAGTAGACGTATAGATTGCTGTCACAGACGAGTTGGGGTTCCCCTCCTCAAATGGTGTAACTGTTGGCAAAGAAATGAAAAATTTATTTTGCCAGTCTTGTGGTGGATATGTATTGGAAGCAAATGTTGTCCAATACTACCGCAGTGATAATGTCATGGAAAATGAGCTTTTCAACCTCGTGAGCAGTTTTTATATTTGCCATCTCAGGGGCCTCCAACCTTCGCTTTTCATGAACATGCTCCAGACTTAGAGTGAAGTATTTGCGTTAAGAGGGTTTTGTCTTTCATGATATTTGCAAAAAACAAGGAGGGAGTTCGAGAAATTCGCGCTTTAAAATACAAAAAAAGATGCGGCAGGAAAATATACTCGCGCACGCGCGCCTTGGGCGCGAAAGTACACAAATCGTATATACAAGTTAAAAAATGGTACAAAAAGGATGAAATAATACATTATATTGAAAGACACATAACTTTTGTTGAAACGATTTGCTTAATAAGTCCAACCGTACGGCATTACAGACTTATACAGTAGAGGAACGAACTTTTGGGACACCCTGTATATGTCACAACTTGTATTTTTCAGACAACTACTGTGTTTTCTTAGACAAACTCAAAGCCATACCGTTTAAATTTCCAGTGTTGGAGCCCTTAGCCGTTACTTTGAGTAATCCTTTTCCCGTGTCAGAAACTTTTATGGATGCATTCCAAGTCCTACTTGAACAATTTGATAGGCTGTATATAGCATCACAATTTTCTTCTTCTCGGCTTACAACTTCGCATATTGGTGGAAAGATGTCATTTTCCTAAAAAAGAAAAAACAAAAACGAGACGGTGTCTGATTTGTAACCTGCGTGCAAACTCTCGGAGGGGGCAATGGTGAAGGAACTTCCCTCCTCTTTCTTTGCCCGTCGAGAGCTTCGGCTCGCGGGCTATTTGTCTTTCGTCATTGACGACTTCTTTGTTGTTTTACCAATGGAGCGGTAAACGGCCCAGCAACCTGAGACGTGTAATGTTCCATATCGCTGTTTCATCCTCTTTGCTCAAGTGCTTGATATATCAGGGACCGCGGAGGGGGAGGGGCTGGTAGGGCCGCGGCCCCACCACTTTTTTGCGTCCCCGCCCCCACTTTTGGCGCTAAAAGAAAAATAATTAAAATAAAAAAAAGACTTGAAACAAGTTTTTTTCCGTCTATATTCCGCTATATTCTCTGTATTTTCTTTAATTTCAAACGCCAGGCATTTTGTGGGGCTCCTGTGCTTTTCGCGGTAATTGTGCTCTGGGGCCGACTTGCCCCTTGATCAAACGCCATGCCTTGGTCACTCCTTCGCTTCTTTCGGCAGCGTGTTTTGTATTTCCAGCTCCGGCAGAGTTTTTTATCAGTTTTATCAGACGAAATGAAGAAAATTACCAGCTTTTTCAAGCCAAACGAAGGTGAGTAGTTGTTTTGAGTTGATAAAAGTTTTATCTTTTGTCAGTTTCTCCTTTCGAATGAAATATTCGATGGCAAGAAGAATAACATTACTTGAACAGTGAACGGCCATAGTTAGAAATTTTTCAGATCACTTCAGTGTAGTATTTTCTATACTAAAATTGTAATCGCGTCTTTTCTTGCATTGAATCTGAACTGACCGTGTAAGTTGGCCGACCTATAAAGAGCAACAAATACACTGGATAAAGTATGCAAAGTCACGCGACAGAAACAAATCAAATACTATGATTTTATTCGTTTTTTCGATTTTCAATATGAAAAAATTATTTTCAATTGTCAGCCCTGCCACTTTTCACCTTGCTCCGCGGTCCCTGTATATCACCATTGTACGAACCTAACTTGTGATATTGATGGTTAAAATTGTAATTGGCAATAGCTTGAGTTGGTGTACACGTATGTTGTCTCAACATTACGCACTTATCGAGAACTCTAGCTCTGTTGTGTCTTAGCTTGGACTTCTGTTTAACTAGAAAGCAAAAGTCAATCTTTTGAATCCTTATGAAACCCCCGATATCATGCTCTATCTACAGATATGACGTGGTTAGCCTCTTTCTCACCTGAACTGTGACACCAACATAAAACAAGATGTAGTTGGACGGCTGATGGCTGCTTTTTGGTGTTGCATAAATGGCAATAGTACTGGTCTCTCCTTGTGAAGCATTACTTGGTGCTTCCACGAATAATGAAAAATCAACTGTCTCATTCTTAGGAACAAGACAATTACTAGGTACCAGAGACTTAACAAATCCTAAGTCATCAACAGCCTTTAAAGTAAAGTTCTGGGCGGATCCTATGTTTGTTATCTTTAGTGGAATTTTGCTTCTCACGCCAGGGTAAATTCTGCTCAAGTTATCAAGCAGTTGAAGGCCATCAAAGCCAAGTTCAACTGTCTCTATTTTGATTTCAGTTGGTTTTACTCTCTTCAGTAATTTTCCATGTGTTGTTCTTCCAGTCAGTTGGAAGCGAAATCTTTCAACAGATGGAGTGAACAGAGCATAAAATGAACCGCTGTACATTCCTTGACCTTTCTTCACAGTAAACGTCTCCATAACTGTACCATTCACATTCACTAATGAGAGCGAATTCACTTCATTCACAAGCTCTGGATGTGTAAAAGCCATGTTAATCAGCAATGTTTGACCTGTAAAGTACACAGCAAAAAAACAATTCAGTCCAGTCAAACCAAAGAGAGAAACAATGAGAATATATCCCGCTTTTGTTTACGTTTCTTTAAACAATTCAGCACACAGCGCACTGAGTAACGATTAAGAATTCATTTAGGGTACATAACTACACTTTTTTCCCTTTGATTGTTGCAAAATAATTGTCCTGTAAAGTCAGTGAGGAGTTCATAGCGTTTATATCAGTAAATGACAGTCAGAATCAAAGCTAAGCCAAAGTATCACTAAAACAATCCAATCAATTTTGTCATCAAGTCTCTGAAAGCCTGGTTTAGCAATATCACAGCAACAAAAACTCAAATGATACTGAGACAAAAAAAAGTTAGGTAACCAAATCAAAGACAATTTTAAGGCAAAGACGGGGCGTTACCTTTTACAGGGCTACCAAGTAGACGCTTAGTTTGGGCTGAATCTGTGTCATGTACCGTGGTCAGCTGATAACTGAAGTCCAGGGCACTGCGGCCAGTCACTTGTAGACTAAAAGGCCCAGTACACTGCACACGAACCTCCAAGGGGCCACCCTTAAAACTTCCAACTTCAGTCACATGCACGCGTTCAAAAGGATTCGTCTTTACTTTTATTGGCTGGTCAGCTAGAAGAAAAGTTCGATTTTATTCATGAACAAAGCTTGTCTCACAAGGATTGCCGATAGCTCTAATCGACTGTCAACTATTCAAACTTTGGACTTTTTTTACAAATAAAGCTGAAACTAATTGGTTACCAGGAAACAACAAAAAGACTAATCTGTCAGATCTGTGGAGTCCTGCCCGACATGAAAGTAACATCAGAACCTGGAGTTTCATGAAAGTATGCGATGGTATTCGTTTCGCAGCAACGTAAACCTATTTTTGACGTCAGTCGTATTTCGTTTAGGAGGAAATGAATTAAGCAAATGAGAACTAGCTGAATTTTTTAAGTAAAACGTCAAAATAGACCTCTTCCGTCAAGTATGTTTTTTCGTTAAACAAAAATGATAGTGCAAGGGTTGCTTTTTTTTCTTCTCCCCTCCTTCCCTTTTCGCTTTCTTTAGTTTGCGCTTTTTTCCTCTTTCGGGTTTTATTGGATGGAACAAACTTGTTATTTTGGCCTCTTCTTTAGTCAAATGGCTGCAATTTTTGGTGCTGTTTTATTTCTCAAATAGTGTTCAGACTTCAGGTTTATGATACCTCCATGATTTATCATTCATTCTTTAGGTATATTGGTTACTACCGGCGGGTAGTCATAGAGGTGAAGAGTTGGTTTGCGATTACGGTTTAGTTTACACCATGTTCCCCAACTAAAGAAAGTACTGATTTAGTTACCTTTCTCTAAAGCTGTATCTATATGGTACAAGTTTGTACAGGGATAAAGATATAGTCAGCGTAATATTATTTATTATAAGCTGCAAAATTTGTACGCTGCAAGGACGCGCTCCTTCCATAACTTTTGTAGTTTCACATCAGAATCATGGCTGGATCAGCCGTAGAGGAAACAATTCTCTGACAAAGCAATAATCTAAGTCGTTAGAAAAAAGTTCTCCCTACTGAGGAAAGAATCACCAACCGTGTTTAAAACTGGGGACACACACTTCAACATGAGTTGATTTGATGAGGTGTAATAATTACATTTCACTGATGACTACACTGAGGGTACTGAGTCATCTTACCTGATGGGTTGATCAGTGTTACGCTGGGATCTCCTTCAGCAGAAAGTACTATAAGAATATCTTTTAAAGTATCGTCCACCTCAATGAAATATGATATACCTCGGACTTCTTCTTTTGACTCGCTACTCGCATGCAGTAACACTACCTGAAACGATTCAAATGAGTGATTACAAAAGACAAATCTCGCATCAAACTATGACACAAGCCTTTAGTGACCTTTTCCAGTAATTGACTTTGCGAAACGCGCAGAAAACACCTTCCACAATCTGTTTGATTATAAATTATAGGATAACCCCTGATATGATATCAAAAATATGCTGAAAGGAGAGTGTTACCGACCCTTTCGGCACGGCGGCTTAACAAGTGATCCATCAAGAAAAAAGTTTACAAAACTGCACAAATCGACACAAGTATGCCACTTGAAGAATGACAACTGACTTTTAAAGAATACTTTGTAAGACGAGGACATCTGATCATATTCTGAAAGTTCTGAGAAACTGGCAAATGTTTCGAGGACATTTTATGCAGTGGTATGGATGTTTTAGCTTGGAAATATTTTAACGAATAATATAACAATTATTGAATTCTGCTTTCGTATGTTATGGAGAACTAGAAAAACTCCTAGCAAATTCGCCTTCAGCTTCGAAGGATATGTCGAAAACTTTACAGACAGCTCATATGACCAGGCATCGTAGAGTGGTACAGTCGACTCCCAATAACTCAAACCTCGCGCTTATTTTCTTACTTCTGGTTATTTGCTTCGAACTTCTGATAACTCGACTTTTTTTTCGATTTCCCTCGAAGGTTCGAGTTATCGGGAGTCGACTGTACATCACTGAAAAATAAAAAGCAAGAGAGAATAGTACAATTCTTACCTCGATTAGATCGTTAGAATCTCTGTCTGAAATTTTCGATCCAATGATATCCACAAACACCCTGACCTTGCTCTTTTGAATCTTAAGTACTTGTCCACCAGTGGCTGCAGCTAAGTTGGTATACAGAGCCTGTGACCCTAGTTGAGGACTGTCACCGGTAGATCTTCTTTTACGATTAAACGAGCACTGTCCAGTCAATATAAAATTCAATTTCACTCTCTTTTGTTTTGCCAATATCAGAACGACTGGTGCCAAGTTAACATCTTTTGCATCAGCATCAGAGAAGTAATATATCACAGAATCGTGGAGACTTTGAAGAAGTGCCTTGTATAATCCGGTCATGCCTAGTTCAGGACAGTCTCCTCCTCTGTTGGTTTTGAGAGAATTGACAGCTTCTATCACTTCATCCGGGACACTAGTTACCGTTACTGGACCCACGTCTATGAGAGCAATCAACAACATTTCAATACGTCAGATGAGAATACTTAATTTTAATATAACGAGAAACAACTTCCTGGCCGGCCCTTCTTCAAAGACAAGACCTCGCTTAGTATACAGTTTCAAGTGAGCGGCTTTTTTTTCCTCTGTATAAGTTACTGAGACTATTTATTTTTTAGTTTCTTACAATGTGAAAAAAAGGGAGAAACATTTTACGTACCTGGCTCGTTAAATGGTACGAGAATATAGACAAAGCCAGTATTGGACGAAGAATTGTTACTGCTGCGCACAAACTCAGTGGATAATTTCCTTACTGACTTGATCTCCTCTGGTGACAAAAAGCGTAAACATTGTGAGTTTTTTTTCCTTTCAGGCTTACTTTCTAATTCGTTTGTAAGAAAGCTAACTACATGTTTTGAAAAGCGAACTACGCATCTCTAAGATGGATACATCATTCTCATTCGAAGCACTTCTTCCACATTTCTTTCTTTCTTTCTTTCTCTCCTTTTTGGTTAGTCATTTAGTTACAGATTTATTTGTTACTGAAACCATTTTGACTGCAACCATTTTACAACTGATCAAGCAGTGTGAATATAGTAAATTAACAGACATACCTCCCATGCTGCCAGTATCATCTATGACAAGCACCAATGTTCGTACCGCCAGAAGATCTAAAAAGCGTGCAAATATTTCGTCACCAACCACATTTCGTACATCTTCGAAGAACACCTTTGTTGCTTCAATGGCAACTTCTGCGGCAATCGCGTGAAGTCTGGTAATGGAAAGTGAAAGGAAAGTGTTAGCCGGCGAGCAAGCCTTCATGGGGTGGGTCCCTAGGAAAGCTTGCTCGCAGGCTAGGTAAGTGTGGCATTGGTGTTCGCAAAGTTATCACGCAATTTAATTATAAAATAAGATAGGTTTACTCAATCAAATACATCTTTTTTTTACTTTAATTTGTTATTATTATGATTATGATTATTATTATTATTATTATTATTATTATTATTATTATCATCATCATTTTTTTTTTTTTGCAATTAAATCAACTTTTAGTACTTCCCTCTTTATAAATTTTAAAAATTAACTGATGAGTTTGGCTGGTCTTTAGAACAACTTAATGATACATACAGAGTTTACAAAGTGATGACTGATAGGAGTTGTCAAATGACACAATTGTTTATTCGTTTTAGAGCATAAATTTGCACTTCCAAAATTTTGCTGCCTTCGTGGATAATTCGATGTTAACATGAATTTAATATCTAATTTTATTCATTTGAAAATAAGCCTACGGCTCACTTTTTTAAACATTGTTGTTTTATCTCTGTAATTTGAATTGCTAATGTATTCTTTGGGCTTTTTCAATCATGATTGAGAAAGCGCCGCAGGCATTGGATAATTAATAGCCCACGTTCGATGCATTAAAATTCTAACATGAGGCTTTAGGGTGAAAATTGCAAATTTTGACCGACTCCATTGTCTCTCAATTCCCAGAAGAGAATTGAGCACAAAGAAAACTAATCCCAATATAATAAGAAAAATAAACCAGAAAGCCTCGGAGTCGTGTTAGAATTTTAATGTATCGAACGTGGGCTATTCCGAGTAGTGTCATCGACTCAGTTCAAAAATTTTCTTGTAAAATAATAGTAAGATACCCTTGTTACAGCTGCAATACATCTGTAGAAGCCTACTAGAAAAATAATTGCCGCAAGAAACAAACATTAAGTGTAAAATATAGACCATTATATTGTTTGTTTCCAGATTTTTCTTGAAGTCCTGTCACAAAATATTTTTTGAGTCAAGAAAATTTCACCTGCAATTTCAGTGTTCCCCTCCTTTTTTTATTTTTTTTATTTTTGTGTCCGGAGAAAAAGGTGAGATGTAAAATTGCAGACGCAGCGTTCGTTCTTAATTATTAATGTGCTCTTAGCTATCTGAATTAGCTAAGTTGGTGATCCTCGCTTTTTTGATTCTTTATCACTTTTGATCGTGTTAAGTAGTCAGAGCGGCTATCAAGTATCAACTGGTCTTGGAATGAGAGGAGTGTAAATATATTAATTCACGATTGAGAAGTGTGTGCAAATAGATTAAGAAGACTTAGTTTTTAGTAAATAAAAAATGCAAGTTTATTATTTAAATTTCACGCTGCTATATCCTTGAACAATAAGAGAATCAAACAGGTAAATTTAATACTGTATTTATAAGTCAAAATTTTCTTTCGTAAAAAATATACCGCCGTTTCAATACATTTGAAAACATATCAAATTACTTTTCGTTACTTACTTATAGTGAGGTGACCACAGCCTTGACGCCGTATCTTTATTTATTCCGCCCCTTGTGGCGGTTCTACTGTCTATAAAACCACCATGGTCACATTTGCTAGCGTTTGCTGGCTTTAAAATGTTTTGTCCTTCCTGATATCCACTTGTAAGTTTCTCTGTTATCAACCTCTCGTTACAGTCATCGTTTGATTCCATAGCCGCTATTGAACAGGGAATACAAGTAGCTTCATTTCCGTTAGAAGTGACTGATTCTAAAGGAATATTGTTATCTCTGCTGAGACGATATCCGAGTTCGATCCAGTTCGAGTGACTGTAGAAATCTTGCAAAGTGTGCAAATATCGACCAGCAAGCTGGCGAGCGTGTTCAAACTTAACGCCTTTTAACAATGTTAAAATCACTGCTGATTTTAATTGTTGGAGACGCTTTGATCCTTCCTTAAACTGTTCTCCGCTAAAATGAACGGCAGCGATGTTCCTCAAAGGCGCTGAATTCACTTCCACATTTGAACTTTGTATCTCTGCAATGACATTTTGTACACGCATTCTTGACTTCATTAGCCTAAAAAACATTTCTACCTGGGTTGGTTTATCGGCCGAGATTAAAAACTCTGAGAAATCTCCCAATGCTGATTCACTTCCTTGTTCGACATATTGGGGATTCTCCTTTAAATATTCTACCGTACTTTGTAAGAGGCCGATTGTTGTGATTATGCCATGGTCGCGAGTTTTAAGCGCAGTTATATTGTCAAGTGTTAGCAGAGAAGACGACAAAAATGCTTCAGAAGAGCAAAAGAACGACAGGAAAACCACAAACGCACGATGAAGCGCCATGTAACGCGTTAGGTTTTGTGAAGAGCCGTTGGAGATAACAAGGTTTAAGAAAAGGGGCAGCTGTTGGGGTACACAGAGTTAATAGGATACATGACAAATCCAACACGATTGTATTGTGTTTTGTTTTTAATTCTTTGTCTCCAAAACGCCAGAGGATAATTGAATATTTATAGCGATTGCTTCTGAAACTGAAAATAAACTATAAATAAGTAATTTGGTAAAGAGTAGTGAAGCACAAACGAAATGTAACACGGTTTTATTGAAGATATGAGGATCAGTGGGGTTCAAGTTATAATTGAATAAGATATTATCCTGTGGTAAAAACAAAGCCTTAAAAAGACGCTAACCTCTAAAATTTGTTTCAGAATTTATTTTCTTGCATCCTTTCATATGATCCTTAAAAACCATATTACATTACAGTACACTATTCTTTACCACTCCTTCCCAATTAATCTAGCTTGAGTCTCAATGTTTGTATGATTTGAATTTCTTGTTTGCAATGTAAATCTCATGTCTTCTACAACCACCTGTTGAAAACCCATTGTTAGCGATGAAATTAAAGCGAAAAAATCTTTTTCTATGACCGCCCAAACACTGGTCAGTGATCCCACTTAAGTTCTGTTTTCATTAGGGGTATCATGAATGATTTACGTTTTTTTTTCTTGCCCTTGGCAAAAAAAGCTTTTACAATAAATTTATTCACTTGAGAATGCCTAGTTAGTCTCAGAGTACGAGAAAAAAAAATTCCACCATCATGTTAGAAATGGTATTGTTCAGTGATATTTTTATATATTTAATGAACTGAACCATTGTAGTTCAGACTGGTTCCATACATAAAGAACAAATACATTTATCATGGCAAAGTGCTTTTACATTGTCCACTTTTAAATAGTATTTCTCGGCGACTGTTATCATAAGTATTGTTATTATTATTATTATTATTATTACTATTATCATATTATCATTATCATTACTATTATCATTTTCATTATTTACGCAACAAGCCCTTCCACGGTTTTGTGGCAGCATATGTATAGTGCCGCCGTTTTCGCCCCAAGAAAATAACAAACCGAAGAATTTAGTTAGCTGTCATTAGTAAAGTGGCCTATTGAAAGGGGAAAATAATAAGTTTCTAGTGAACCAGATGACAGACAGACTTCCCTGCATCGCCGGTACCCTGAGGATCCACACCTGCGCATGATTTGGATCACACCATACAAGGGAGTCAATCTTAGGACTGTCCCTAAGATGCTCGGCAATTTTTCAGTACTTAGTCACACAAGCCAGTTTCTGTTATTTAAGGTTTTGCTCCAGATTTTGGATTTTGCTCCAGGTTTTGTGCAGGTTTTGCTGCACCTAAAGACAGTCCTTGAAGGACCCTTGTTATTTTTACTCAATTCATATCCACTACAGACATGTGACATTATATGAATCATTGTTTTTTGGATGTACTTGTTTCCACCTGACACCTAATACAGGTTTAACTGTAGCCAGTTCTAGCTGTTTAGTTAGTGGCCCTCCCCCCAACGCACTCACCTTTTTCATTCTGCTCGTTAAATGCCTCCAGGGAACAGGTTTGAAACAGGTTTATATCCCTGGATAGTAAATTATCGAATCTGGTACATTGAGAGCGGCTGTCGGTAAATATCGAGAAGTGGTTGTCAAAACTGAAATTTCAAAATTCTTCATGTTCAGTCCGAAAAAAACCGTTTGGTGAAACATTTTCGAAAATCACAGTCAAAGTTACCAAAGAATTCTCTTTTTCGAGAAAACTGGCGAAAAGTGAAATGCTGCATTCATGCCTTAGCCGCCGTTTAGAAATCGCCAAAAGTTATACCACTTTCAAAGCCCTCGGGAAGAAAAGCGTCCGGGTGAACGTAGTCCTGTATTCCATTAAAAAGATGTATCTATGTTCACACTAAATCGGACAGCTTTTCGTACCAGCACGAAAAGCTACCCGCTAAAGTATGAACACCTTCCGATGTGTGACACTCCACCTTAGAGATCGGCGCGGCGCTGCTTCATGTCGTTACAGAAGTTGGGTCGGAATCACCGTCCTTTATGTGTGTGAACAGAAGCCCTGCCCGGTATGGTGTTCGTGTCGGTGCAAAAGCTATTCAGTATAGTCAAGAAGGTCGTCATAGACGCCATTGTGACATCTAATCTCGGCTACTGCAACTCCCTGCTCTATAGTATTCAAAAATACCAACAAGATCAGTTGCAGAGGATTCTCAATGCAGCTGTTCGCATTGTCTGCCTGGTATACCCAAGTTCAATGACATCACACCATATTGTAATAGCTGTTATTATTCACTGAAAATATTTTCCCGATTCTGATTGGCTAAAAGCACACGCATAATTCACCAAACCTAGCTAATGAAGACAAAATTTGGAAGAATTTTGCGATTAATCAACCGATGACGTCAAAAGTGCAGCTTCCGCGCAGGTTAATGCACCGTTAACCGAGAAGACCTGGGGACGAGGTTGAGTTGTTTTGGTTGTGAAAACAAAAATGGCGAACATTTAACTCGTTTCAAGAGTAAGGACCGGGCGAAATAATAGCTAAAAACATAGCAAGAACAGCAAGAAGACAACTCGAAGGGCGACATCTGCTATTTGGAGAATATTTGCGGCGCTGAACAACCCTAAACGTGCACTTTAGAAGATGAACTTAACATCGAAGGAGGTAAGCATGTTTGAGCTATTTTTTTAAACTGGGAATTCTTTTGAATGAATAATAAAACAATTATTGAATTCGGCTTTTGTATCATATGAAGAATTATAGAGATATCGTAGGGTGTTATCCGTCGAGGCCGTAACATTCTCCTCGATCTCCATAATTCTCCTTAAGATACTCAGCCTCATTCATTTATTGTTAATTAATTGACTTTTATATGGATAGCGTATATCATCTATTCGCCACTTTAGATACGAGAAGGAAACTGGGTCGAGTTAACTGTAGCAAAGACTTCTGGGACTCTTCCCAGCAAGTGGAAAAATTGCTAAAAACAATTTTTTCGTGCCTATGCACGTAAATAAAACAGAAGCAATATATGAAGTGTCGCACACGCCCGTACGCACGTACGCACGTACGCCACAGTCCTGGCTGACAGTGGAAAACCACCTTCAGTATCCGCTTTGCGTTAGGCGGGTTAATGTAAAGGCGACAAGCATTGCCGCATTTTTTTTTCATGAAAGACCATATTTTGCCACATGCAACGGGTCAAAACCTAGTATGCCGACAGCGCTGGTTCCTCAACCATAAGTGATTTTTTTCTGGATAAAAAAAATTGACTTTCCGCCCTGGAAAGTTTTTTTATAGTGAGACCAAAATCTGCAATTTCTAACTCAGAAGAAGAGCATCCCTGTCGCTTTCATATGGGAGTAAAACGCATGAAGATAGTAGCCTTGTCGGTTCCCTGATAGATGGTCAAATTTAATCTAGGGGTATGCCAAATTTTAAGCCCTGTTTTCTTGTCTACAGATATGTACTTGGAATTTTTTAGTCTTTTTAATCGTTTATTCCGAAATTCAGTTATGATAACAGAAAAAGGATAGATCAGACAATAAGAAGGTGACCCGGGGTAAAGTTCAATCGAGGTTGCCGTTTCTTTGTTCGAAACCATTTTCTGTACTTATTCCACTTTCAATTATTTTATCAAGTTCTGTAGGGCATTCAGACATCAGACTGTAAGCTAATAAAATTTACAGGAATTTGCTTTGAATACATTCAGTTCTGAGGTCAAATTTTGCCTTATCCCTGGGTTATCATATCCCTGCTTTAAACAACCCGGGCCTTACATTCGTTTTAATATGGATATGCGCATCGGGTGTAGGAGAGACGTTTCTGATCATCACTATTTGTTTACATGTTACTCTTACAAAAGTGTCTTTTAAAAGCCAAGCAAACTTGAGTACGTAATAATAGTTTACTAGAACTGGCAAATAAGTTAAAAGCACATTTGATATTCAGTGCATTAAGATAACTTGATCGTCATTATAAGGTTCTTCTCGACATGTATCTGCAAAAGGTTAAAAAAATCCTTAATGAGTGCACAATAACATCACCAACATCTCAGACACCTTGAGTAGGAGACAATAAGGTCACGTGATATACGATTACCGTACGTAAGAAAGAATCAGGTGAGACGTCTGAGCGTTATACAAAATAATATACCAGCTCGTACGCGAGAGTCTTCTGGTCTGAAGTTTATAAGTTTGACTCTTCATGTACCCATTGACTGACCTTACCGATAGCATTTATATGAAGAGACACTGGGGAGCTTAACACCAAAATAACACAAGCGGTATTTTCATGGAAGCCGAGGCATTTTCAAGTCATTAAAAAACATCGAGGTAGCAAAGGATTCTCCAAAATAAGGCCTTCCTCTCCCCCGTAAGTTTTTTTGATCCCCTTTCAGCTGATGTAATGGAAGATCGTACTTAAAGTTGCGCCACTAAGTTCCCACCTAGCGTCGCAATTGAGTCAGTGTACAAGAAACTTCCACAAAGCACACGTGACTCCGATTCACTAGCTAGGCCAACTGCCGAAATCTTAACCTCTGTTACCGCGAAGGTCGCCTTCCTCAGGCCTGGAAAAGGGCGGACATTTTGCCCATACCGAAAACATTTCCAGTTAATGTTTTAAATGAGCATTTGCATTTGCATTTTTGTTAAAAATCCGCTGTATTGAAGAGGGTTAATGATGGACGATTTAGAACGCTACCTAAGTCATGCTTCCTAGTCAGAGCGCACCGATGATGGTGGAGGTTTTGCTAGAGTTGACCTCGTAGCAACACCTTAGACCACCACATTGTGGATGAGAAACTTTCAACGAAAGGTTCCCTAAATCCATTATTCGTCGGATTTTAGATTTCCTAACCAATGGTAAACGAAGGGTGAAAATAAAACATTAGGAGACATTCCGGCAGGCGTACCCCAGGGGACTAAGTTAGGCCCGTGGTTGTTTAGAATGATAATAAACGAAAAGGAAAGGAGGT